GCTATCTTATCCACGGCTTTGAAGTGATTCTCGACCGAGTAGTCGAATACACTTTCAGGTAGAGGTTCAACTGTGGAAGGCAATCGAGCAGGGTCGTGATCGCGGGCCGCTTCGGGGGGGTCTTCAGGCCAGGCCTCAGGTTGTTTTTTCTTCCGGATAGGTTTTCTCTTACGTTTGAATGATTGAGCAAGTGGAGCGTCCTCGTCGAACTCCATTGCTCTAACTCTGCACTGCTGCTGCTTCTCAACCTTTGAAGAGGTAAAGGGATTAATAGGTTCGCCATTCATAATGGATAGTATTATTATGTAAAGATTGTCCCAAAATTAGTTAATCACATGAAGATGAATTTGGATAAATTATCACTAAGTCGCAGTTAAGCATGCTTTATACAAATCGAAAGGGCATATCACTCTTCTTTTTTTCATTTTGTAATTAACCTATATGTCACGCCCACTTATTTATTTAAGAAAGAACAAGATTTTCCAAAAATAATTTTGAACATATTTGAAGAACATTTTCCAAAAACTATAATGCGGGCATTTCAGGCATCACTCAAAAGTTCTTTCCTCTCAAACAAACAAAGCATAATTAAAATTTCCATCACATTTAAAATTTCTTCGAAAATATAACAGTGTCTATGACATTCGTCTAATAAAGGTTTTCATAAACATTTAACGGAAATATAAAGGCATAAAACTTGTCTCAAGGTTCGTAAATAACTATAAACGACCACCCTTGCCATCGCGTCTGGCACCAATTTGATCATGTAGAAACAAAAAGGGATGAGCATTCCACTTACCTAGTGAAGGAACCATAATATGCATCTTCGATATAAGCACAAATAGAATAACAATTATATGAACATGTAAAGTCCACCATCTCACTTATATACTCATAACAACCCGGCTTCAAGCTGCTAGGTAGACCTGGCTAATCCACTCTTATTTCAAGCTCCCAGAATCTACCCGGCTAAGTAGCTATTATACGCCCCGACTTCAAGCCCCCAGGTAACCCGACTAATCGACTATCAAGCCCCAGAATCTACCTGGCTAATTAGCTATTATATGCCGTTAACCTTAGTTCATGAATGTTGATCTATATCAGATCATTACCCGGCTAAATGATTCTTATTTCAAACCCCGGGTAATTCTCTAACTGATAATTACACAGCTTATCTATTATTTCAAGCCCACAGGTAAGTTCTCACAATTCAAAATCGGCCCACCGGCCCGTAAGCATGCATATAAAAACTATACTATCACATGTTTATACAGAATAAACCAAAGTATAGAACCCCCACCTTTATACGTGCTGACTGGCTGACAAGAATGAATGCACGTGCGTCTGAGTCAGGACTCGACTCGTCTTAATCTACAATTTAATAATTTTTATTTTATTATTAGGTTTTGATTATAGAATCAGAACAAAAAATTAAACCACGTAAGGCACGTAGAGAAGATAAGAGCATATAATTCCAGTCAAAGATAAGCAAATAAAAACACATAAAAATTTTAACTTCCCTACTTGACTTTCTAGTCTCGACTCAGTTTTCCCAAATAAAAAATATA